CACGTCCAGGCTGGCCTCAAGGCGAGCCGTCCTGCGCACCTGCGAGGATGACTGGCCATCGTGCCCGCCGCCACACCAGAGCGGCTGGTGCAGACTCCACTCTGGCGCTGGTCTGCCTGCACAACGGCGCTGGACGGCGGATGCCCTCGTCCAGCTTGGAGGCGGCCGGGGTGTCTGCGCTGGAAAATGCCACGAGAATCTCGATCAGGAGGGGGACCCTTCCAGGGTCCATCCAGGCCCTGCGGCTCTGGGGCCTGAAAACGGCCAAGCAGTCCCCAGGCGCCGACCAGGGCTGGGGCACCATGGCCCCCTAGGAGGAGAATGAGGAGGAGTCGGAGGCGGAGGAGGAATAAGAGGCGGAGGAGAAGCCGGAGGAGGAGGCGGAGAAGGAAGGAGGACGGAGGCGGAGGAAGGAGGAAGGAGGCAAACGAAGGAGCTTACGAGGTGGTGGCGGCGGGGACGGTGGCATGGACACGAGGTTGTGCTCGGCCAGCCAGCTCCAACACCTCCACGGTAGGTTGGCACGCTCGCGCCATATCTGACATCCTACCCCTCCCACCCATCCCTTCACATCTGGAAGAGAATGTGGCTGGGAACAACAAGGTGGACAAGCCAGGGAGGTGATCAGGGGAGGCATTGGCGCAGACACTGGGCGCCTGCGCCAGACACGCTGTCGTACCACCGCTCGGCACGGGTGACGTTGCCCTCGCGGAGGGAGCCAAGCACGAGCAGGGCATGGGTGTCCGCGTCGGGCTTGACACCGCGCTCGGCCATCCTCCCAACAGGAAGCAGGGGAAGGCGCATGGGCAGTAGGAGCAGCTGGAGCAGGAGCAGGAGCGGACTGAGGAAGAGGAGGCCAACGATGAAAAAGATAAAGACAGGACGAAGGACGAGGATAACATCGGGTGAGGAGCAATGGGGAATCTCTGAGCCGGCGGCTCTGGAAAATATCTCGGGCGCCGCGGCCTTCTCAGAGCGTTCTGGAACGCTCAGAGAGCGTTCCAGAACGCCGCGGAATGGATTTATCCTGGTCCTAGCCCCGTCCGGAAAAAAGGCAAGGGGTATGCTGAGGCGGAGCTGGAAGTGGAGGGGCAGGGGGGGAGGAGCAGGATTCAGCAGGACTCTACAGATAGCCACGACATGGCTCATTCCTCTGGCTCGCACCCCATGGCGGCGCGTGCACCACTGACTTGCGCCGCCAAGACGGGTTCAGGATCAACCAGCACCACATCGGGAAATCGGGTCGAATCGAAATGCGTATCGCATCGGGCTGCATGCGCACGGGGGCGAAACCGAATCGGATCGGCTGCGCCATGGGTGTACAACAGCGCCGTGCAAGCATCGGGCAGCATCGGATCGTTGAAACGTCGGCATCGAATCGGACCGGGCTGGCCGGAATGGATGTCGAATCAGATTGAGATGGACCAGGGGGGGCTGCCACTCGACCAGGCGCAACCCAGCTGGCCGGCGGCCCCAAGACTGCCCGACGACGGCGGGTGAGCCGATCAATTAGCCAGCGCCCCTTCGCGTAGGAGAGGCGGGGGGGGCAACCAGGAGCGAGGGAGGGATTGCCAAGCTCGCTACAGGCTCAAAGGGCACCTCAGCCCATCTTTGAGGACGAGGCGACCGTCAGAGAAACACTGGAGACTACGAACCTGCGAAGTGCAGGGGAGTTACCAGAGGCCTCTTAGAAGAGGTCCGAGTAAATGGGGTTGGAGGGTCGCGCCGCATCGCCAATTCATCGCCGGTAAATCGGCGATACATCGGCGATGCGTCGGCGGCGCCAGCGATGCATCGGCGCCATCGGCGTTGAGAAATTTGGGCACATCGAGCCGCTTCGCCGCTGCATCTGCGATGCGGCGCAATCCTCCGACCCCGTCTACTCTGACCCCATCTGGGAGGCCCAGAGGGCCTAGAGTCAGACTGCTAGGGCAGGCCAGAGCAAGGGAGGAGGCGAGGAGGGGAAAAGGAAGGTTTAGCATGGGCGAGGACGGGCCCCGAGGGAAACGGGTCCCGGACCCCGGGGGCCTCCCCCCAGGACCAACTCTTGACCTCGCTGTCTGACCATGCTGGGGCCCGCGGAGGGCCCCGGGAGCGCGAGAAAGGTGAAAGGAGGAGGAGGAGGAGGAGGATCCGCTTCTGGGGAGCCACATGCGAACCCTACCCCTACCCCCTGCGATTTCTGAGGGGGAGGGAGGGGTTCACTTCATTCGGAAGCTCCCGAGCGAAGTGAACCCCACCTTCCCCCTCAGACATCGTAGGGGGTAGGGGTAGGGTTCGCAGGTGGCCCCCTAGCTTCCCCCGTGGCGAAGCAAGGGAGGAGGCGAAGCGGGGGGTGCTCGCCACGGTATCTGGAGGACCAGGGTGCCCGCCGCACGCGGGGCAATCTCTTGGCGCGCACGCATGGTGTACGTCGTGACAAGAGTGATGATGAGTCATAAACGGTTTTTCTCCATATCCAAAGGATGAGGTTCTTTGTTATTGCTCTGACCGCGCCGACTCCTTCCTCACACCACCTCCCCTCCTCCTTCTCTTCCCCATCCCACTCAGAGTATGATGGTGATGATGATTATGATGCTGATGGATGGTGGTGATGATGTTGATGTTGCTGTTGATGCCGGTGCTGATGATGATTATTATGATGGTGATGATGCTGATGATGCTGATGCTGATGGTGCTGCTGACGATGACGATGACGATGACGATGACGATGACGATGACGATGACGATGCTAATGATGATGATGATGATGATGATGATGATGATGATGATGATGATGATGATGATGATGATGATGATGATGATGATGGTGCTGATGATGATGATGATGATGATGATGATGATGATGATGATGATGATGATGATGATGACGGAGCAAATTATAGGATGTCTCGAGCGAGGCGCGGGTTTAAGGGAGCCACCAGGGGGTATTACACGGCGTCCGTCGGTCCGTTCGCGCCAAAATGGCGGGGATGTCTCAAACGGTTTGCCTGTTTACCAGCTCAACATCCTCCGCTTTCGCAGCAGATTTGGAGGATGTCTCGAGCGAGGAGCGGATTTCAGCACTCCCAAGGGGGTGCCACCAGGGGGTATTGAATTCCCCCGTTCGCACCAAAATTGCCGGAATGTCTCGAGCGGCTTGCCTGCTTACCAACCAGCTCAACATCCTCCGCTTTCGGAGCAGATGTTGAGGATGTCTGGAGCGGTTTGCCTATTTTGCTGGCCAGACTCGTGGGCACGGATCATCTTCAGGATGCCACAGGAGGCTCCAGCAGGCTCCAGGAGGCTCCAGGAGGCCACCGGACCTACCAGGAGGAGGCATCAGGATGCCACAGAAGCCACAGGAGGCTCCAGGAGGCCACCAGAACTCACACGAGGCCACAGGAAGCGCCATGAGGCTCCAGGAGGCCCCGGAAGGCACCAGGAGGCCCCAAGAGTCCCTAGAAGCAGAAGTCCTCAGAAGGCCAACAGGAGTGGCTCCGATCCCATGTGTTGCACGTATGCTCCGATAGATTGTGCCTCCCCTGGAGAACGAATCCTTTGTGCTTTACATATGTTTCTATAGATTTCGCCTACCCTGGGGCACGAGTCCTTGGTGTTTTACGTGCTTTCCTATAGATTGCCCTTCTCCTGCGGCTCGAATCCGTAGTGTTTTATGTACGTCTGGTCCTATAGATTGGACCCCCGCTGGGGCACGAATTCTCCCCGGGAGGCCCCAGGAGGCCCCAGGCGGCTCCAGGAGGCGCTAAGAGGCCGCTGGAGGCCCCAGGAGGCCTCAGGAGGCCACAGGAAGCCCCAAGAGGCCACAGGAGGCCCCAAAAGGCTCCAGGAGGCCCCAAGAAGCCCCAGGAGGTTTCAGGAGGCCCCAGGAGGCCCCAGGCTCATGCGCAGAGACGCGATCGTACTACTGAGAATCATTCACACTCCAACTCATTCACAGATAGATTCACTCCCAGACCGGCAATATTACGCCGGTGAACCGTGGATATTCGAAAACTCTTCCGCCAGGACACTGACGGCAGACAGGTCCATGCTAATAGATGGACATATGGGGAGCTCCGCGCAGTGAATAATTTGCGAAGCGGGGGGGTTGTACATATCCACCTCCTGCGAACCGACGTCCTGGTGCCACAGCGGACGGTGGATATGGATATATGCTGGTCCCCGGGGACCCGAATACATCCATGCCCACCGCGGGTGGCGGTCCGCGAAGATGGATCCCCCAGGCGGTTGTTACGGATAAATCCCCGCCTCAGATTTTTGGGACGGGCACGCCCATTCGGGGTCTTGGGCCCGCCCTGCTATCAGGTAAGGACATTCGGGAGTCTACCGACCCAGGCCAACCCGAACCCGGGTCAGTCAGGGTTTGCAGGATCCTGCAAGATCCTGCAAGATCCTGCACGCAAGCTCGGGTCAATGCACCACTGGCTCTGCAGGCTCCTGCAAGATCCGGCGCCCTGGCTGGCCTCCGTGTGCATTGACGCCCGTCGCTGCACAGTTTGTCCCGGGACCGTAGGCGACCCGAGGAGGAGGAGGAGGTGGAGGAGGAGGAGGAGGAAAAGGAGGAGGAGGAGGAGGAGGAGGAGGAGGAGGAGGAGGAGGAGGAGGAGGAGGGGTCGCCTAAGCCCTTCGGAGAAACCCGTCACCCGTCGCTTGAGTCCCGAGTCCTGTCCAACCAGCGCTCGCCGGCCGCCCCGCCCGCGGCGCCGCGCACCAGGCCCCGGAGTGCCACGTTGTAGGTGAGGGCGCTGAGCCGCTGGCTCCTCGAGGGGGCGAGGCCGCCCGAGCCGAGGGGGCCGCGACGGCAGCCGATGACGACGAGAGCAGCGGCAACGAGCACAACAATCAAAACAAAACAATAAGAGCCAAAACACCGATAACAATGACCACATCGTGTTATCCTTGTTGCGCCCGCTATCGTTGCTATCTATACTTGTCATCGTAGGCCTCCCAGGTGCGGTCGGAGTAGGTGGGGTCGGAGGATCGAGCCGCATCGCCACTGCATCAGCGATGCATCGCCGATGCATCGGCGACGCCGGCGAGGCATCGCCGCCGTCGGCGTGGCGAAAATCGGGCTCCACATCGAGCCGCATCGCCGATGCATCGGCGATGCTGCGTGATCCTCCGACCCCATCTGGGAGGCCCAAAACAACGATCACAACGAGAACAAAGATAAAACAGCGATAACAACAACAACGACAATACGTTGTGGTCGTTGTTCTCGCTGTTCTCGCTGTTATCGCTGTGATTGCTTATCGAGGGCAAAAAGATTGCCGCGCTTGGTCGGCGGTCCCAGTAGCCTTCAGCCTCTGTGGCCGGAGGCCCCATCCTTGCCTCTGTTGCCGCTGGAGGGCCTGGAAGTGCTCCGTGTCATCGAGAGGCATGCCAGTCATCAGGATGGAGCTCCGAAAACTAGAGGGGGACAGGGACACGCACACATCCATAGACACAAATCACAGGATGTCCCACATTTGTTGTTCATAGTTTCTTGATCCTCGTCTTGCCCCCTACTTCCCATATGTTCCATTATCTTCTTCGGAATCAATGGTTCCTTGTGGCTGTGCGTTTTTGCCCCTCCCGAAGAACAACCTCTTGCGTCCAGTGTACCTCTTGCCACTCCTCCCTGGTGGCCCCTTGGACGCCTCCAGCAGCCTGCGCCTCAAGGGGGCAGGGCCGCCCGGGCCGGGAGGACTGAAGGGGCCCTGGGACACACAAATAAATACACACAAATAAAAGGATGCCCCATATTTTCCTATATTTGTGGGGTTTCTGTCTTCCCCCCCCACTTCCCATATTTTCCCATATTTTCCCATATTTTCTGGGGAATCGACGATGGATTGTGTCTGTGTGTTTTTCCCCTCCTGAAGGACTACGACAAGGGTGGAGGGCTCAGGGCGGAACCCATACAAGCTCTCTCACCTCGAAAACCGATGCGTCATTGTGCTTCACCTTTTGCAGATTCGGGCCTCGAAAATCCATCGAAATGGCACTTCAGACTTCACCCTTTGCCCCCCACCCAAAAAAAATGCTCGGACGATAACAGAGATAGCAGCGGTAACGAACACGACGATCACAACGGTACCAAGGATAACACTCGGGCAGACGTAAGACTCGGGTACGGGGGACTCGGGTTGGCCTGACGGGGCCATAATAAAAATGACGAGGCCCAATCTGAAATTTGACGCGAGCTCCCGCTGCAAACATCCCACGAAAACGGGACCGTCAAAATCCAGGACGCGCTCGTCAAAAAACGTCGGCAAACCCGAGTTCCGGCTTACTCAAGTCTTACGTTCCCCCGAAACACGCTGCGATCCTCGTGATCGCTGTGATCGTCGTGCTCGCCGTGGGCGAAAAAGGCGCCCCGTGGCCGCGGCCTCGAGGGCTGGGGCTCTCCACGGTCCCCCTTTGGCCGCCAGAGCACACCTGGGGACAGAGAGCTCACGACGGGGCCAGGACGAGGATATAAAGTCGAATGGGCAGAAATCTATGACGAACGAGCAACACACACCCATACCCATAGGGGGGTCGTTGGGAGGAGGACTAGCTATGGGTATGGGTGCGGGTTGTCGGACCCTGGGGAACGCTCCCGTTCGAGCGGGGACCCCCATCCGACAACACGCACCCATAGCCCTCTCCGACCCCTCTTTGGGTATGGGTGTGTGTTGTTGGTTCGTCAATCTAGAGCCTCTGAGATCTGGCGGCACGAGACGACGCGTTGGGCGCCGCGGACTTCTCAGAGCAATCCGGAAGGCTCTGAGAGCGTTCCAGAACGCTCTGGAACGCATTCATCCTCGTCCCAGCCCTCGGAGATCTACTGACCAGGGTCCATCCAAGCCCGAGCCAGCCGGGCCTCGCAAGATCCTTCCAAATCCTGCGCCCAAGCCCAAGTCAGTGCACCCCTGGCCCTGCAGGCTCCTGCAAGAACGGGCGCTCTGACTGACCCCCGTTTGCATTTGACCCCCGTCGCTTGAGCCCGAAGCCCCGCCCCAAAGCTGGTCCCAGGCGAGCCGTCGCCGGCCGTCCTCCTTTCTTACCAGCCTCGAACATATCCCTATCCCTAAGATTGATATGCCAAAAAGCGATGACAATCTTAGGGATGCGCCCTCAAAAAATAAGGGAATCCCTAAGATTGGCATCGTGATGAAGAGATGCCCAGCATAGGGATAGGGATATGTCCAGGCTGGTAACTTCCGCCGTCTCGTGTGGCGAAGAGCAGACTCGTGCCCACGGCTACGCGCCGGCTGGGCCCCTGGGCCGCGACCCTGCGGCCGCGGGGCGTCTCTCCGCGGATGTGCCGCGAGGAGCGCATCCGTGCGTGCGACCGCGTATCCGCATGATCGCGCCCCAAAGTGCAGGCCGCGAGGGCGGTGGATACTCTGGGTGTCTTCACAAGCGTGGGGGTGTACCCCCCCGACGGGGGTCGCCCTCGCCTCGTCGTCGCGCCGCGACGGGGGTCGGAGCGCCTTTGGCGCGCGGTGGCTGCCCGCGACGGGGGTCGATGCGGGGCTGTCGGCAGGGATGGCGCCCCCCCGACACTTCTTAAGAAGCCCAGAGCATCTATACGTTTGCCGCTCGTGGGGACGGAGGTGGATCTGGAAGCAAGCCACGCGGGCGAGACGTGGCCGCAAGAGAGCGCATCAAGACCACGAGCCCCTCCTCCCAGGGGACCTACGAGCCCCACGTCGGGCCGGACGAGGGGCAAATCGGGTCGGAAAATCGAGTCGGTAATCGAAATGCGCCGAGATCGGCAGGCAGATCGGACGGCACCCAGCGGCCCGAGCCGAGGCCCGCGCCAACAAACCCCCCACCGAGGTCGGAGAAATCCGGAGTCGAACCGAATCGAAACGGGAATCCCCGAGATCGCTTCGACTCGAATGCACCGAGTCGAACTGGCCCCCTGGCAGAGAGGGGTTCGCGAAGCAATGCCTCCCGGCGGCTGGAGGCGCCCACGCGTCAATGTGAGAGGTGCCCGGCGGCGGGGCCGAAGCATGCGGCAGATGTCGCGACCGTCGTTTCCCAGACCCCCCCCTCTGATCGGCTACTCGCAAGAGTGACCCTGGGTAAGAGTGACCTTTGGTGCGCGGCTTTTCGGGGGCCGCGGAGCGACCAAACACAAGCGCGCAAGACGATACTATCGCATCGCGTTCGACGGTCGGGGACCCCAGTGGGCCCGCACCAAAGGTCACTCCGGCGTAGTCGATCTGAGGAAACCAAGCGGTACCGATACCGCCACTCCCGGGGGTCGCTCTGGCCAGGATTTCGAAGCGAATCCAACGGTGGCGGCGAGAACCTCCCAGGAGGGCGAGAAGAGGGAAAGCGGGCTGAAGGTAGCGGCCTTTGCCTCCTCCGACCCTCTCTTCAGAAAAGAGCAGCCGGCACAACCGTAAACTGTCTCACCTCGGCGCGGATTTTTGGGGTAGGCCCTGGACCCCACTCGGAAAGAGCAACCGGGGCTGATCAGCCATCTTAATCAATGCTGATCAATGCTGATCAATGCATCCCCCCTGAGCCTGTCAAACCCCCTGAACGTTGATGGTGATTCTCTGGCGCCGCTCGGCGCATTGGAGGCGCCCACGCCTCGATGAGAGTGCACGGGCGGCGGAGCCGAAACCTGCTGCAAGCAGCCGATCTCGCACGGCAGCCTCGCGCGGCGTCGGCGCGGGCCAAGGTTTTTGTACCCGCATCGATCGTTCAGCCTTGAATCGATCGCGGCCCCGATAGTTCGAGGTTGAATCCCGTCCGGTTCTGTTGCGTCACCGTGCCCCGCAGTGCGTCCGTGACGTTCTATCATGCAAACTTTAAGATTGAATGCTTTCGCTAGCGTCGCCAGCTCGCCATCACCGCATGAACCGACCGTATCCCCCCCTTCTCCGATGAGTGTGGCAGGAAAGATACAGTCGAAACTGGCAGTCAGGATGCGCGGTAAGGATACAAGCCCCTTGGACGCCCATGTCAAAGCTGTTCGAGCGGGGCTGGCCATCGAAAGTGGCTAAGGAAGGACCGAAAACGCAAGGATCTAGGGGTATCCTTGGTCCTTGGGAAGACTACCCATCCTTATCATGGGTTTCGACTGTAGAGGGCCCCTGGGGGTCCCCAGACGAAAAGTACCCCAGCCGACACTCGACAAGGTCCTGGCAAAGTCCGCTCAAGGATGCCGGAACTCCTGAAGGCGGTTTCGGGTGCCCTCCAGATCGCCACAGGAACGGCTCAAGGAACCTCAAGGCAGCTCCAAAAGGGCCCACGAATCAAAATCACGGCCCAAGAGCGCTCCAAGACGCCCAAGATGGCCCCAAGACGGCCCCAGCGGCCCCAAAGAAGCCCCAAGAGCGCTCCAAGTGGATCCCAAAGAGGGCCAAAAGAAGCACATATCATTGAGGTTCCTTGTGTTTTTCTATGTTTTTCGCGTTCTCTCGTTTTAGGGCTTCCGGCGCTCCAAAATGGCCCCAGAAGCCCCCAAGACCGCCCTAAGACGGCCCCAAAACGGCCCCAGTGGCGCCCAAGATCGCCCAAGACAGCCCCAAGACGGCCCCAGGAGGGGCCCCAGAGGGGGAACACGAACCACCAATTTGAGCCTTCCGCCACAAGGGGCCCCCAGGAGGCCCCAAGAGGCCCCCAAGAGAGCCCAGGAGGCCCCCGGAGGCCCCACGAGGCCCCGAAGAGGCCAACAAAAACCTAAAACAGGCCCCCAAACGGTCCAAAGAGGCCACGAGCGCACAGGCAAACGCCTGCGATGGCACAATAGAGGCCGGCGAAATGAGCGAAGCGATTTAATAACCAAGAGAGGGAGAGAGAGAGAGGGGGGGGGGAAACAGCGAGAGAGGCGACAGCCAGCAAGGAGTCCGACCCAAGACCCTGTCCAGAAGGCCAGAGAGGGGTACCTCGATGGGGCGGCGGCGGCGGCGGTCACGGGGAACGGCGGGCAACGAACAACAACGACGACGCCAAGGACGACGACGGTGATGACCACGGCGGCGGCAGCGGCAGCGACGACGACACGACGGCGGCGACCGCCAGAACTGGGATCAGAATCACAATACGAATCGGGAATCAGAATCGGACCAGGACTGTGATCCGAGATTCGGACCAGGACGAAGCCAGGACTGGGATCAGAATCGGACCAGGAAGAATCGGGGATCTCTGAGCTCCGGCGGCTCTACAAGGTACATCGGCTGAATAACCAAAAAAGGGCCCCCAGCCCTTTGGGAGGGGACCTCAGGGAGGAGAGCCAAACATTAGGGATAGGCTATATAGGGGGTCTTTGCTGCAGATGTATCGAAACACACAGTCCAGATGTTAAGCCTCATGCAAAAACGGGGACCTCAGGAAGGCCACGTCTTCATCGTGTACTATCAGGGATAGGGGGTTGTGTTGTTCTCGATGATTGGCCGCCGCGACGATAACTTTCGGAGGTCTGGAGCAGCGCCTCCACCCTCCGAGCGTCGGCGATCCAAAGATGACGCCCCGAGCGAGATGGGGCCCTGCGGGCGAGAGGCCTCAAACGATGCAAACAGTCACGCCGGGATCGCTTCCTGTCATCGGGGCCCCCGTTTGGTTTCGGCCCTCAGGGCCCCATCTTCTGGGCGAGAACGATGCCATGATAGGACTGGCTCAGGATACGCTCCAGGATTTGTCCAGCGTGTCCCGCGGCCCTCGTCTCTGCAGCCCGCGGGGAACCTTACGTAGGACACCTGGGAAATCCTGGGAACCTTGGAAACCGTGAAACGTATCATCATGACCTCTTGCTGATGCCATCACTGCCACATGTAGGACTGAGGAGGATGGAGGATGAGGATATCCTCCTCCTCCTCCTCCTCCTCCTCCTCCTCCTCCTCCTCCTCCTCCTCCTCCTCCTCCTCCTCCTCCTCTTCCTCCTCCTCCTCCTCCTCCTCCTCCTCCTCCTCCTCCTCCTCCTCCTCCTCCTCCTCCTCCTCCTCCTCCTCCTCCTCCTCCTCCTCCTCCTCCTCCTCCTCCTCCTCCTCCCCCCTCTCCTGCCTATGGCTATAGGCAGTGGAACATGGGCCCATCATTTGCTCCTCTGGACCTCTGAGCCGCCGAACAGCGGACAGCTGGTCGACGCCACGGAGAGGAGGCGCCCCGTGTCCTCCGCTCGAGGTCGTCCACGACGCGGACGGTTGCTGCCGCGTCGCCGGCCGCGACGTGGCCTCGGCACCCCGGGGGACGGGGCCGAGGCTCGGGGATCGGGGGTTCGAGGACGAACGATCGGGGTTCGAGGATCGGGGTTCGAGGATCGGGGGTCGAGGATCAAGGCTAGGATCGAAGATAGGTTCGAAGATCGAGACGCCCCCCCTCCCATCGAGGCGCCAAGCTCGAGGATCGCATCCTTCGGAAGTTCTCGCCGCCGCCGCCTTCCGTCCCAATCCCCGCCCCCCCTCACAATATTTCCCTCCTCACCCTCACGCCCTCCATCCACCCTTCTTTTCCGCTACCCGTCCCTGTCCTACTCAGCTCCCCTCACCTCCTCTCACCTCCCCCCATCCCATCCTCAAAGTGTGGAAGGTCCTCCTCCTCCTCCTCCTCCTCTTCCTCCTGGTCTTCTTCCTAAACCTCCTCCTCCTCCTTCTTACCCTCCTCCCCTCTTGCTGCTGCTGCTGCCGCCGCCGCAACCGCCGCCACCGCCGCCGCTGCTCCTCCTCCTCCTCCGTTTCCTCCTCCTCCTCCTCCTCCTCCTCCTCCTCCTCCTCCTCCTGGTCTTCCAACTGGTTCTCCAAGCGGCCTGTGCGGGAAACAGAGTCAGAAGAATTCGGCCGCGCGCGTGTCGATATCAAAAGAAGGATGCCGCCACACACTGTCTTTGGGATGTGTGGCCCGAATTGAGGCTAACAATTGAGCAGAATGCCAATCCAGCCGGCGGCGCTCTTATTCCGACCGAAGGGCGGGCCGACAAAGAAACGCGGGCCAAGGACGAAACGGGGACGGGCCGGAAAGCGAGGAGCCGAGGAGCGAGAAGGGGAAGAGGCGAGGGAGGGACGACGACGGGAAAGGACAGACCGGGCCGACGGACAGAGGGACGGGAGACGGAGAGAGGCAGCCAAGCAGGGAGAGCGAGAGGGAGAGGACACAGCACACCAGGGGGAGGACACACGAGGGCGAGAGGGGGAGGACACGGAGAGAGGGAGGGGAGAGGGAGGGAAGCAAGGAGCCAGAGGCAGGGCAGGCAGGAGGGACACACAGGGACAGCGGGCGAGGGGGGGCACGGGCCCAGCACGGCGGGCAGCGGGTGAGACGGAATCGGCTCATCTCGTACTACAGCGCACGCGGCTGTGAGGCTGGAGAAGGGAGAGGAGTAGGAGGAGGAGAAAAATGTACATTCACTGCCACAGCGGCGGCACGTGGCCAGGCGACCAACCGCCTACCTCCACGCCCGGGGCGAGATCGCGGAGGCGTCGCAAAATGGCCCGCGCGTTTTCCCTGCGAAGGAAACATGACAATCGCTGGGCTATTCGCAAGCTCTCCCCCTCCGCCTCCCCGCGCCAGAAGGCGCTCGCGTGCTTGGCAATCGTGTCCAAGGTCTGCCGTGCCGTCTTCCCCCAGCCGCCGCTGTGGGATTCGATCACCATCGGTACAAAAGACAGGCCTGCGCCCGTGCACAGTTCCTCTGTTGCGGCGGTCTCTCCAGGGGCCTTAAAAGACCTCTTGAACTCCTCGTATGCGCTCAGGACAGACTCTGGGTTCGTCGCAGCGTCTCGTAGCACATCTGCGCGCAGACCCGACGTGCAAGCGAAGTCCAGGGCAGCAGGTGTCCCGCCCAGAGCTCGGGGGAAGAAAACATCGGCAGGGCGTCTCCGGGACCTTGCAACGCCCGGGGCCTCCCCTCCGCCACTGCTGGGAGGCGTGCCGTCGTCCCGCGGGCGTTCCGGGAGCAGACCGGGCTTCTCCCTCTCAGGGCCCATCTGGCCCTTCAGTGCGTCTTCGAACACCGAGTCCCGCAAGCGATTGTGGCGGACCGTGCGGTCACCGCTGCATGGACACACGAGGGCATGATCGCCGAAGCTGTCCATGGCGCCGCCGCACATAGGGCAGAACATGTCGGCATCCTGCACGCGGATCCGCAGCCTGCGCCTCAGAGCCATCTTGAACTGAGCGGGCTCTATGGTTCGCGCGGCGTCCGCTGGCGGCGCGGTCAGCCACGCCCCAGCCCCGCATAGCTGCTGGAGGGGCAGGTGGGCCGCGTAAGAAACGTCGGCGGAGCTGTCGCGCCTCAGGTCCTGCTCCCGCTTAGCGTCCACCAGGGCCGACATCGCCTTTTGACTTTGCCCAAGAAGGGCAGCGGCCTCGGGCGAAATGCGTCCGGCGTGCGCCCGTTTCGCTGCGTCCCGATGCGAGTGGCCAGCCGTGTCGTCAGGGTCGAAGCCAGCGTCAATGGACGCGCACGTCGCCTCCGTGGCGCGCAGAAACGCCAAGTACGCGGCAGCCGCGTGGTCGTCGGCCCCTCTGCGACCGAGGCCGCCCCGCTTGATTCCCAGCGTGGCATGCATCCACTCGCGGTCTCCAATCTCGGCGCCGAATACTTCCTTGAGGGCCGCCCGCTGGTTCGCCGTGAACTCCTGCAAGACGCTGTCGTGCAGCTCCGGCGGCACCGTCCGCATTGAGTATACGAGCTTGGCGTACGAGGCGCACTGGCGGATGAGATGGAGCGCCGCCTGGGCGTCTTGCAACTTTGACACCTCCCGCAGAAGCACCCCCGCCTTGCGTGCCCTCTTCTGCATGTGGCTTGCGCAAAATGCATGCCGCTGATCCGAACGGCGCCCCGAGCAGCTTGAAATTCCCGGACTGATTGAAGTTAAAGCCTTCGAACAAACCTGGCGGGACGCTGTGCCGCCCCGTTGCTGTGGGGACAATATCGCACTTTGCTCTGTTGAATGTCAAGCCAACGTCAGCCAGGGAGCTTTCGGCGAGCTCGCAGAAGCGTCGCACGGCTCGGGAAGACCCTCCAATCACACCGTCGTCCAAGTAGAAGGACACCAGAAACGATTCCCCAGGAAATTCCCGCAGCACTTGAGCTCGCGTCTCCTGGATGATTACATGGATGGCCAGAGCGAACAGGGCCGGGCCGAGAGGGTCGCCCTGCTGCACTCCCCTTGCGGACTCCAAGCGGCTACTGCCCATCATGAGATTGGTCGGCTCGCCGTAGCAGAAATCCACCCATGGGGCTAATTCGGGCACCACTCGCCAGACTGCTTGCCGAACCTGTGAACGGTCTACCGTGTTGAAGGCGTTCGAGAGGTCCAACATGGCCAGGACGCTATCGGTGTCGGCGCTGCGGCGTCCTATCCACTGCCGAACGGTATGCACAACCGCCTCGCCCTCCTTCCCCTCCTCCTTCATTCCTTTTCCTTATAAATAAGTTGACCCTGTCGCACCCCGAGGCCAGTTTTTAAGGCGGTCCGCGGGGGTCGCCTAGGTCTTTCTCACCATGTATAACTCTGAAGCTTCAAAAGTGACAACAGTTTCACATATGGAGGGCGGGTCGTTTTCAAAATGTGGCTTGTCTAGCGAAACCAGCTTCGTACTGGAGGAATGATCCCCCATCCTGTACACGTCGGTCGGAAGAAGTAGGTAAAAATATGAACTAGAAAGGCGGATAAAGTAGATTGGGTTCAGGCCCTCCCAGAGAACAACAAAACTTGAAGGTCGCTGAGGGGGCAGCGTTGTTTCTAGGGCCAGATCCCCGTACGCTCGGCGGGCGCGCTTGATCGGTCAACAGCAATCCTTACAGCCGCCCTTCGCGAGAAGCTCTGGTCTCAGGTTTGCTCTTGCCGACCATTGGGCTGCTCAGGCTTGCTCTTGCCCTACAAAAGCATTGCCCTCTCCCCCGTCGCCCCAGAAGCACAGATCGCGGTCGCTGCCCCTCAGCGAGCGTCAAAACAAAACACAGCAGAAGCATGGCGATTCTTGAAGAAGGAAGGCGCCTGAAGTAGGCTGGGATCTCTGCGCCCAAACATACCTGCTTTCGACGACCGACCTGCACCCCTCCTCGACGGGACACCGGACAGCCGCGACGCTGAGCGCGGGTCCGGCGAGCACCTCCCGCACCAGCTCCTGGCCGCACGGGGATCCGCCCTGGACCGCCTTCGCCAGCCAGGCCGAGGCCTGCCCCAGGTTGCCCTGCACCAGAAAGGCCTGGGGGGGAGGCACCGCAGGGCCGCACATGCGGCCCACACTGGACGGTGGGCACGCAGCGCACGAAGGATGCAGCAGGTGAGGGGGAGGTGAAGGATCAGCAGCAGACGGAGCAACAGCAAGGAGCAGGAGCGTAGGGGGGAGAGGGGACAGGAGGAACGGGGATGAGGAGGCGAGGGGAGGATGGGAGGCGAGGGGATGGGAGGATGGGAGGCGAGGGGGTGGGAGAGGAGGAGATGGGAGGAGAGAGGAGGGGAGAAAGGGGGGAGCGGAGGAGAGAATGACTGGATTGACGCGCTCGCGCGATCCAGGATATCATGCCCCACCTTCCCACCCCTCACCATGGAAATGGGCCCCCTCCATTCGCAGAGTCGAATGTCGAAGAAGATTTGACCACAAACGGCTATTTCGTCCAGACACGTGAGAAACGCTAAAACAGAAACACCGCTTTGGCTCATGCAGTTGACCGGCCACCGCGGTGGCCAGAGCAGTATTCCGTCGGACAGGAAGCTCTAAGGGAATCTCTGCGTGCGGCAAGCGCTGAAACGGGAGCTGTAGATAGTTTTCCTGGTGCCAGAGTGCGGCCAACGCTGCGGAGAGGGCGTCGGTCCAATGCACGGAGGGGGACAGGAAATCCTGAAGCGTGGCGAAGGTTCCAGCTGAGCGACACTTGTACTGATGCGAAAAGAATACGGCCGGCGATGCGGCGAGAGCGACATCCTGGAGGACCGAAGCGCTGTCGAAAACCACCTTTGGGTAATCCTGGTTGCAATAAACAGCATGCGGGATTGGCGGTGGGAAATAAAAGACAATTCCCGAAGAGAGAAAAGAGAAGTACTCAGAGAGTGATCGCGGAGAGGAGCGGGTGGGAGGTGACAGGGGGGGAAGGGAACAGCGGGGGGGGAGGGGGAGGGGGAAGAGAAAAGGTGAGCGGCCGGAGGGGGAGGGCAAGGGATGGGGAAGGACGGGGGGTGCGAAGGGGAGGGGGCGGAGGGGACAGTGCGTAGTGGGAATGGAGAAGGAAGAGGGAAATCCAAGCCCTCCCACCCATCCCTTCCCATTGCGCTCATGTTTTCTCTATGCGCGGACGCGTTTCACAGCCCACCTAGTAATCCAAACAAACACCCATCGCGCTATGCGCATTCGGAATAGGGGAGCTGCGTATATATGAGGAGGAGGAGGAGGAGGAGGAGGAGGAGGAGGAGGAGGAGGAGCAAGTGGCGGGTGAGCAAGAAGAAGAGCAGGAGGATGAAGGAGGATGTTTGAGGACGCGGACAAACGGCAGCAGCAGAAACTAGAGTGGAAGGAGCGGGAGGAGCAGGAGGACCAAGGGAACGCGGAGGGGAAATGAGGGTCGATGAGCAAGGACACGGATCCAGAAAAATGGCCCGCGCCAGGGCGAGAGCGCCATTCTGAACGACGGAAGCACAGCGCCAATCCAAAAAAAGAAGCTCCCGCTGCAGCGGGGGGCACCATATTGAAACACCGAAAACAATCAATCAGACTGCAAGCACACATAAGAAAAACAAAGCTTGAGATCCTGAGCAACAAACCGTGCGCGGAGAGGGCACGTGATCTCCCGCACAGACTGAAAAGTGCTCTTGCCCAGAGAAGACGGAAGACCCGAAAGAGTGCTACGAGATGGGAAGGGACGGCACCTAGCTGAGAACGCCATGTTTGACGCGAGTGCATGACTGTAGTGTGAAAGCGAAGTTCTGGGGCCTATTCAAGTTGACGCCTGCTGCTGGTGGAGCCAGCCGATGTGACAATGTTCGGCGACCTCCGCAACGAGCTCACTTCCCTCTTAGATCAACGGCCGTCCCGCCATCGCCAACGAGTTCATTTCCCTCTTGGATTGACGGCCGTCCAGCAATCGCTACGAAGTGGAAGTGGGGACGCCACTGCGTAGCTGCCCGCCTGCATTGACAGCCGCACGGTCTCACAACTGTAACGAGGAACCTCCTGCGCGACACCAGCAAGCATACGAGAAGCATTGGCGAGCGAACTGGAAGTACGGCAGCAAGGAGCGAAGAGATTTCTCAAGCAACCAGGGAGGAACCAAGCGAGGAGACGAACGAATAATGGGGGGGCGAGGGGAGGGGAGGGAAGGGGACGAGGAAGAGGGGGGGAACAGCGCGGGGGCAGGAGGAGGACGACGAGGAGATCATCGGCGCTCGACGCCAAGCTGTTCGCAGCTTCGAATTTCAAGGAGGATGAGGAGGATCAGGACGCGGAGGAGCAGGTGGGGGGTAGGGGGTAGAGGTGGAAATGGAGAAGAACGATGAGGACAACGGGGCATCCGCGCCTTGACGATGGCCTCGTAAGCCTGCTGCGACGCCACAAAGCCGGCCTCCTCCAT